AATGAAGACAAAAAACATCGCCAAAAACGAAAAATCAAAAAATAGTGTTAAGCAATCCCAAAGAAGTGAGGTCAAAAAGCAACACGAAACCAAGTCACCAAAAAGTTAACAAAATGGCATTAAAAAAAAAAAAATCACAAAAAAGAGAAGACATCATTAAAACTTTAAACAAACTTTAGATAAAAAAGAATGAGCATTTAAAAGAAACAAAAGGGGAATAAAAAATAGCAYCAACAACATATAAGTAAAAAAGAGCATTGATAAAAGCAGCACAAAAAATATGAAGTCAAAGAAAAGCTTCAAAAAAGCCCTCCAAATGTCAAAATATCATAAAAATCTCAGAAAATAAAACAGATAAAAGAAAATTAAAAAAGCTCTACAAGAACAAAGCCAGAAGCTGGAATAAAAAAGTGAAGAAAACCTAAAGAACATCAGGATGAGAAAAAAAATCCCTGAAAAGTGAAAAAGCAATAAAAAAGAATATAAAAAAAAAACAAAATAAATGTCGAAACATATTTAAAAAAAAAGACAAATTCAGAAACAGAATTAACTGGCTCTGCCCGGCGGGGCCCGGCGCCTGCGGTGCCTCAAGGAGATGGCCCCAGCTGTGGGGCTGGAGCGCCAGGGACCCGCGCACAGAGCAGGGCCTTGCTCCTCGTGCCCCCTTCCCTCCCCTGGGGTCCTCGCTCCTCGCGTCCCCCTTACCCGACTGCTGCCACACACGGCACCCGCGCAGCTGGAATCCCGGTGCCTCCACACGGCAGCTCGGCCACCRGCCCCTGCCAAGGGGGCTCCGGGCAGAGCAGGGTCCCCATCAGCCATCGTCGTCCGCGCATCCCTGTCCGGAAGCTGCRAGGAAGAGAGCGGGATGARCGCGGCTGAGGGCTYSGACACCCCAGCCTGTGGGCCTGTCCCCACGGCCGCCCCTCCGTGCAGGACACGCAGCGGCACCTCCGTCCCCGTCAGGCCACGTCCCAGCACGGGCAGCGCTGCCGGGGCCGGCGCTCGGGCCCGTCCCTCTGTGCCGGGCGCCCTGCGCTCGCGGCCGGGGCTGCCCCCGGGCCCCGCAGCAGGACGGCATCGTCAGCGGGCACGGAGCGGGTGGCACCTGTGCAGCACTCGGAGCGTTAATGCAACAGGAACTCGCTGCGTATCAGCCACACAGTGCAGGTTATTCAGCACTAAACGGGACACTAACAGGCAAGTTAGGACAGCGACCGATYCGGCCGCGCAGCCAAGGGGGCTGCAGCCCTGGACAGCGATCCCGGGGACCCGGCCGGACTCCCCCTGAAACAGAGCGACCACACGCAGCCCCTTGGCGCAGAGCCCGGAGCCTCCCCTGCCMCAAGCCCCTTTGCCAGGGGCCAACAGCCCCTGCCCAACGCACCGGGACCCTCAGAGGCGCAAGGCGCCTGTCGGGCCTCTCCCTCCTGCTCCCGGCTGTCCCCGACATCCGCTCCTCAGCTGCCAGGGGGCGACGCTCCGGCTCCCTCTACGCAGCAAATCCCGGTTCCTGAGGAGAAGTCCCCGTTCAGGGCCCCGTCCAGGGCCGCCCGCCGAGCTGCCCCCGCGCCGCGGCGAGGCACAAGGTCCGTCCGTGTCCCAGCTGCGCAGGGCCGAGCGGGACGGCGACTGACACCCACCTGGGCCCTCGCCGGCCTCTGTCCTGCCGGAGCCGTCCCCGTCTGCCCGGCCTCGCTCCTCCTCGGCCCGTCCCAAACGCGCTCCAGGCCAGSGGCCATCGGCAYCCGTGYGTCCCTGTCCGGCAGCTGCAAGGAAGGGAGCCAAGAGAGCGGGACGAGCCTGGCTGGGGGCTCAGACATCCYGGTCCSTGAGCGGTTCCTGTCTGGGCTGGGACAGACRTTACAAACGTGACCTAGGAGCCGCCCGGGACGCGATCTGTTTCCTCGGACCGGCTCGGACCCACATGCTGCGCATGGGGGAGCCCTCCCCACCTGCCCTGGGGCCGGTGCTGCCACGCGCAGCTCTGCAGGCGCCCATGGACAAGTCCAAGGGTGCTGCTGCCGCCGCCAGGCGTGGGGCAGAGGCCACTGCAGCACCTGGCTCCCAGCCAGCAGCAGCCTCCCAGTTGCCTCCCTGGGGCAGGAAAGGAGACCCCTTTCCCTAGGAACCGCCAGCAGCTGCAGCCAACACCAAACACCGGCACCTGAGCCCCCCCAGGCAAGAGCCACAGGCAGATCCCACCCTCTCCCACCAGGTCTCCAGGTGCTTCCCATCACCCAGAATGAGCTGGGAACAGCAGCCCCTCTGCTCTCCCACCTGGAGTGGAGGCCTCTAGGAAGTCACTGCAGCCAGTCCGTGTGTCTATCCATGGTGCACAAAACCCTGGGAAAGCACAAGGGTTTCCAGCAGCGTTTCCCATCCCAGGGCACACGGGACACTGCAGGGACGSGACCCAACGCACCCGGCCGGTCCCTGGGGCGCCGGCAGCCGGAGCCGCCCCYGGCAGCCCCGCACGCGGGGCAGCTCTCCGGGCCTGACTGCCCCCCGGCCCTCAACGCCCCCACGCGCCTGGGAGGAGGCACCAGGGCCSACCGGCATACCCGCTCAGGAGCTCCCCACGTGTTGCCCCCAGGGCAGGGCCCGTCCACATACTACACGCACCCCACATGCAGCCCCACATGCAGCCCCACCCGCACCGAGACACCAGGGCAGGTGTCCTCTGCTCGCCCAGTCCCAGCAGCGCCTGGACACCCAGCCACCCCACAGAGCCAGGAACCTCCCTCCAAGAGCCCCACCCGCCCCCTCCCTTCCCAACCAGCTGCCCCCCAATTAACTGCCACCAACTCCCAAACCAGCTGCAACCAATTCCCAAATCAGTGCCCAAGCCACAGTCCAGCCTGGGGATTCCCCCAAAATGCTCTGTACCCTGCCTAAAAAACACCACTAAGCAATCACCTGGGAGCCCCCCAAACCATCCTCCAGGGACTCCCAAAGTGCTCCCCCTTTTTAGCCCYCCCATGGAACCCCCAAAACAAYCTCCAACAGGCCTCCAACCTGAGCAGGTGCCCCACAGAAACTCCCTCAAAGCCCTCTCAGCCCTGGGAAGGGCCCTCTCAAACCACACTACAGGGGGTGACCCCCACCCCCAAACTGCCATTACCCCAGGGAAGGGCCCCCAAAAGTTCCCCACCTCCCCCCCAGAAGAGCCCAACTACCTCCCCAGGGATTTGTCCCCCTAAGGGCCACCCAAACCCCACGGAACCGCCAGTGCTGCCTTCTCTCTCAACGGGGAGCCCCTAAAGCACCTTCCCCGCCCAAGGAGCCCCCAACTCCTCCCCTCCACAGCACCCCCAACTCCTCGCTACCTGCCAGCCCCAGAACTGCCCCCCAGGTCACCCCACCTGGGGCCCACCCCCAAAAAACACCTCCTAGTCCCACACAGACCCTCCCAGAGCGCCCTCCTGCCCACAAGGAGCCCTCCAAGTGCCTGCCCTGCCCCACAGAGCCCCACACGGCTCCCGCAGCAGGGACATCCCAGCCGGGGCGCCCGCCCAGCAGCCCCCTCGGGAGCCCCCAGTCCCCACCAGCGCCCAGGACACCCCTCCAGCCCCACCAGCGCCACGAGGCCTCTGGTCTCCCCAGGAGAGAAACCGTCCCGGAGGGCCCCAGTCCCGGAGCGGCTCCCGCAAATCACCCCCTAATCCCAGGGGGCCCTCAAAGAGGCCCCTTCACAGAGACCCCCAAGTTTCACCCAGCCCCAGGGCGCCCCCCAAGCGCCCCCCGCACCTGCAGCCGCCGCCGCCGCCTCGTGCTGCGCACGCGCCAATCAGCCCCGGCGCTGTCGCCGCCTGGCGGCCGCGCCCGGAACTGCAGCCCCGCCCCCGCCCCCCGCGCCTCTTGAAGCCTCGGCCCGGCGCGCACCTGCCGCCGCTCAGCGCCGGGCGGGGCCGCGGGGGCGGGGCTCCGCCCGCAAGCGCCAATCAGCGCCGGGGGCGGGGCGCGCGGCGGGGCGAGTCCCCGCCCCCGGGACTGCCCTGGCCCCGGGAGGGGCTGATGCTCCGTGCTGCTCTGTGCTGATCAGTGCTGATCAGTGCTGATCA